GCACAATGAAAATAAAATTCTACCACAGTGCACAAGTTCTATTCTTATATCACTGTCAAATTATTTGCCAGTAACACTAAAGAAAATGCAGTTCTAGTCCAATAGCTCATCTTATAACCTTGGGGATTTGAAAGTCAACAGCCGAATAAGGTAGACTTAAAAAAGAAAGGAAGAATTACAACAGAACACAGGAAAAGAATTTAAGCATTCTGTCTTTCCACTGTTATTTGTATCTCGGCATAACAGATTTATATATTTTACGCTTATGTGCTCAATAAGAATATGAAGTTGGAATATGTATATCTATATATTGATCTGCCACTGATTGAAATGATCACTTTTCGTGCCAACACGTAACATTAATTCGAAACTATTTTATAACTTAAAACGTTGAGAAGCAGATTATTCAAAAGTGGGAAAAATTAAGTTCTACCTAAAGCATAAAATAGACTGGTCAGCTGTTTAATACATCACGTTCTCATGGAAACTCAGTTGTAGTCTAGTTTTATTAGAACTTTTTGAGGATCTAACGGTCATAAGCTCCACTGATTAAGCCAGGGAAGTTTGTTATCCAGATTTATATAAGTTGCGGCGATTTGATGCTCTGATGTGAAGTTCTCAATGTAGTTTGAAAACACTAGAAACAATGTTTTCTTGACTTTAAAGCTTAGCAATTAAACCTAACTACTGAGGAATCACAAAACCACCCATCTGAACAACAAATCTACTCTGCTTTTTCGATTAAAATCTATTAATGGCGTATTCAGTTTGTTATATAATAAACTAAGTTATTCAATTCAACTCTAGACTAGAATGTTCTGGTTTGTTCTGTTATCAGGTGTGATAAATGAGATAGGATGAACACTTGTTTACATTCTGATTTAACTTGCTTGTGTGACATCATTGTACGATAATGCTGTTACGCTGTAACTCCTTTGTTCAGTGACTGATCTCATAGATTCACAGTGTTTTCCTAAATTACTTCGTATTGTGAAGTGCTAAAAGTGATGATAAAAATTCCCTGAAAATTTAGAGGTTATTTTCTCAAATATCATAACAAACGGTAATTAAGCCAACACTTGACCTTTTACCAACGAATCTTCAAGGTGTCCACTAGTTTAATCGGTAACTTCTACCGAAATTATATTAAGATTTTCATTAATTTAATTTTTATGATTAATTTTATGTATCATCTGTTGTAGAATGGTGCACCATTCAAGAGACAGACTATCAGTTTATCTCGCACAGTAAGTTATAAGATTTTGTTAGTCCATTAATTTAAAATATTTTGTAATACTCGTGACCATAGGAGCAGTTTTCATCAAACCAAGAGGGATAAGATCTGCAGCATATAATTTGCTCATTTTGTTTAGAGGCTTCTCTTGGTCTACCGACCACTCACATATATTCATATGACTAGTAGCAGTACATATTTTCTGTCAATAAGCAATAAGATCATAGTTTTGCATGACGGCGGCAAGTAAGATGACGGTTTGAACATTCCATCTGTCTGGAAATGAAACTTGGTATTTACAATTAGTTTGTATAAAGACTCAGTAAGAGTTTTAGTAAGTGGCTCAAAACATAACATTATTTACCTAACAACATAATTAGGAAGATTACACGATAATATACAGAAAAACATTTGGAAGTGAGCTGCTATCAAATGAGTTAAAATAAGTCAGTGAAATAACAATAATAAAGTTACGAGATAATACAGAAACATGTATAAGTTCACAGATTATTATAAGAAAAGGGTGAAATCAGCCGTAATGTCCTTCTTTGTTCAAAGATTAGGTTGAAGTCGCTTGAAAGCAGAATCAAGTAAAGGCTGGTTGATTATAGTAATGCATGCAATTTTCCTCAGGAATCGATAGGAGGTAGGAAAATTGCTTAATAGAGACTTTTGAAGATGACATCTTATCAGAGTTATCATTGAGAAAACTTTTGCATCTATATGTAGCATATCAAATTACATGTAGCTGTCTGCATAACACACTGTTTATTAAATAACTGATCTAGGGGCAAAATTATCCTGCCTGTCCTTAGCTGAAACTATAGAAGTTAATTGCAATAAGCTAAAACGTGCATGTTCAGATAAGAAAAATCAACCTTGTTTTTGTCCATCCTTAAATGTTAGAAGGTAAACTCACATCTGACTGGTTTTAAGACATTTTATGTCTTTCTTATAATACTCTTTAGAACTATTTGTTTACTCATTAAATATAGCTGGCATCATTTATAAACATCAAACGATTATCATGAACAGTAGCACTAATCATAAGTCAAAATAGCCCTGTTTTATCGTTCGATTCTTTAATCGTCTAATTTCACTAATATTAGACCATCCCTTAAAACCAGCACCGCTTTTGTTGTAACAGGCCAAAACAGCAATTGTTTGCGATAGCACGTTGAATGGCTGCTCTGTCGCATTCTGAAACTCTTCCTCAGTACAAAACCACTATCCTATTAAGGATAAAACCTGGGGACCCAAGAATATCACCATTCAGTCGTAATTCAAACTTGCAAACTCAACAACCGAAAGCATTCTGATCACTTGATCTTCTAACTTACATAAGTGTTTAAACTTGTTTTTTTACTTTAATTAAATATTTTATAAGAATTTGTCGCATGAAATAAACAAAAGCTTGTATAAACGACCTTCAGTGGAACAGCTGACGTTATCGTGTTATCGTGGTTTATGCATGAAGCAGTATTGGTTTAATAAGTTGAATAGGTGATGTCAATATGCAAAAATTAGTATCATTGCTGTGCTTAGATTAAACACCTTCACAATAAAATAGTTACCTCATCAAGGAAATTCCAAACGGCTCTACGTAGTAGATATGAGCAAACAGGATAGATAAATAGAATTATTAGTAGACATAATTGACTTTTTATCTTAATTATAGTAAAATGATGGCTGGAAAGATAGTGATTTTTCCGTTCTGTAGTACTTTATTCCAACACAGTATTTGCTTGGCAAATCTTCATTGCGTTACCACTTAGATGTCGTTTCATATAAATTTATCTAGGATTTTCGAGATAATAAGCGACGATTTTAAACAATTACTACCCATAGTAAATTTGCACAGTGCTATTAAAAGGCCATGATTATCTGGAAAATGTGATGTGTTTGCGCTACACACCTCGAACAATCTGATCTCATATATACTTGTCATGTCAGTTTATATGAAAAATAAAGGCCAATTCAAATAAACAAAGTGATAAGGGGTTTAAGAATAAGAATAAAAAGATTAATTAACGCTATGTTTGGTTACATAATCAACCACAAGCCTCGAAATGCGCAGGTGATTACGTCACACCCCATTCTATGTGCCAATTTGCATGTGTGACCACACACATGCATAAGAGGAGTGTTTTACATCTGAGGGTGGGAAATCATATACCCAGATGGTTAGAAAAATAAGTGAACTGGAAAAAATTGATGGACGTAGATAGCAAACTGCCAACTTCCTCTACAGCTAAACACTTAATCGATATGAATCACAAGGCCTATGTCAAAACAGATTTTAAGGTTGTTCATAAAAACAATCAATGGTGCTTATTGAAATACGCAGAGGTGATTGCTATTCACAAACTATAACCCCTCCTTTATGTACAAAAACAATTCATTATCACTCTTAACCTAACTTGGTAACCTTTTTCTGATTATATAAACAAACGTAGCGTTAATTAGTCTTTTTATTCTTATTCTTAAATCCTTTGTCATTTTCTTTATTTGAATAGGCCTTTATTTTTCATATAAACTGACATGATATGTAAATATGTGATCAGATCGTTTGAGATGTGCAGAGCAAATATGTCATATCTTTCAGATAATCTCAGTCTTCTAATAACACTGTATTAAAGCTGATCATTGCTCTTCTGAGTGGTTGAAATCTGTTACCCAAACACAGTGATTTTTAGTGGATTTTGAAAGGCAAAACAGAAGTACGCTTGTTATAACGATTGCTCTTTCCCACTAAAAATAAATTGGGTAAACGCTTATTGGGAAACATTTTACGTGATTTTTGATCTATACTTTATTCTTCCTTATTAACTGAACTTTCAGTTATAAATAAATCAATACGATTTCCTTTTTATTGCTTCTATAGTCAATAAAACAATCTCCTGAACAGTAAAATATATTTAAAATGCACTACTTATATATATAATGACTCTTCCAAAATACTGTACAATGAACCTATTAACTGAGATTTTACTTATTGTTAAGGTCAATTACATCACAGTTGGGATAAATGAAATAAATAGTGGATCAAATTAGTGATCTTCAAACATAGTAGTATGTTCATATAGAACTATGAAAGGACGTAATTTTTTAAAAATTACCGATGTTCTAGTGTAACATGGGTTATTTCCAAAATTTGATGTTGACTATGTTTCAATTATCACTTTTAAACGTAATGTGGGTTCAAGTCTTTACACAAGGTCGTCAGATACTCCTATACTGATGTCATGAAGCCTTGAAGTTGAATTTTATTTTCAGATACATCACTAAAATGTGTCTGTATCCATGCTGGGACCCAGTTTGTTTCAGCTCAAAAATACTACGTTGCTCACTGCTCTAACATATTATCATGAAATGAAGTTGTGCGTCGGTGGCACAGTGGTTAGGACTCTCGCCGACCATGCACATGGTCCCGGGTTCGATCCCCTGCCGACGCACACCCGATATCTATGGTCGGCCTGCGAAATTCGGGCTACCGATATCCATGCTGAAAATGCCATACTTGTACTGAAAATACGGTGTGGCATCAAGCTGTAATCAAACATTTAAAAAAATAAAATAAAATGTTATGTACTCACTAAATATAATTTTTGGCCACTGACATTTCAGTTGACTGTGACTTTTTTATGTAGCAGGTGTTAATTGAAACATAGTGTCCTAAAGCTTTTTCTACCATCATGTGTTGAAAGTTTTATAAGATATTGCAGTCTCAGCAGCACTTACCAGAACAGCAATTATTTTTTTCCAGATGATTGATCACTGCAAGGAAATAGAAGCCAACAATTCAAAAAGATGCAGAGAGTTATTGGAAGTAAGTATAACCGCTTTCGCTTTATATACTAGGATTACTTGAACATGAGTTTTTATTGCTTACATTATGATTATCATTCGCTTGCTAATTTCTGCATCCCAGCATCAGGTTTGTTTTAACAACATACTTTAGTGTATTTTTCATGGGGAGGTAATTTCTCTATACTCGTATGTATATTTCTAAGAAATATCTGCAGATATCTGTTGCAATTTCTTTTGTCAACTGATTTGTTGGTGCACACCTAATGTCTTTGATCATCACCCCTTGATATGATTTTCGCATCTTTTGACCTGGCTCGTGTAAAACAGTATAGCCTTCATCTTATGCAAATTTGAAATCTTTTATACTTTTACTTTTTGACTATTGTATTACAAAACGTGATATTCAACAGTTATCGCCAGTGAACCGGTACCCTATCATCAAACTCGATTCAAACCTAATATCTCGAAGCTTAAGTTAATTGATAGTTGGAATGAAAACCTAATTCCATATCCAGCTCTAATTGTTATTCTTCGTAAGAAACTATCATCCTGATTATTATTCCCATTTAACCTTAAGGATTTTCGCAAAATTCACATGGTTTAATATCACTGAAACCCATACCCTGACTTATCACTAGATTGTAATTAATGTTGTGTAAATGCAACTGAATTCTTGCTGTTAGTGGAGCGCTGTGGTTTAAAAGTGCTAACGTACTTTATCACAGCCTTCTTTTATTTATTCTCATCTGTTTAACAAGAGTCATGGAGCATTACTTATTACAATTTATTTAGCACCAATTTCCGATAAGCATTTATTGGGTCAAGTTTGAATTTTTCCGCATTTCATCTGATTCATCTGCTGGCTACTTTGAGCGTTCTAATGCTCTTCATTTTCCCACTGCAAATTATAATATTTTTAACATCAATATTATTTTTCACCTAGTGAAGGAAAATAATTTATACTTGATTGCCAAAAATGAACTGTTTGATTTAAAAATACTAACCAATGCACTGTTAAACAACAGTTTCGTAAGATGATGCTAGAGAAAAGATATATTATTATTATTATTCCACATTTAATGTGAGAAACCAAAGACATTTGTTTAACGAATTTCTTTCAATTACACTTAGTACATTGAGTTATTTAGGTTAGAAGCAAGAGATTGACATTCTAAACGTTATAAATCACTGAATGCACTAATTAATGAAGATACATAATAATTATAATAAAGCCAGTTTATAATCTTTTTAACTATTTATAGTTGTCTAATTGTTAGTTATACAAATAAAAGCTAGAATAGGCGTCTATTACACAATACATTTGTACCTGATAAAGACTGTCATATAGTCCTCAAAGTTCCACACGTGTTAAAAATATACAAATCTCTGATATGGGAACAGTGAACAACAGGCGTATTTACCTATCAACAAGTTAGAAACAATAGGGACAGAATTTGAGTCATCGAGTTAATCAATGAAAGTGTGCACAATTCCATACTGAGTGAGTTTATTTGATGAAACACAAATATTGAAGCTGCATTAATAACTGGATGACGTTTATTATTATTATTATTATTATAACCACATGTGGGTTATCGACTCTATGTATAAAGAATTAGCAGTTAACCTCCATCATTCTGTCTCTCACTATTTAATTATATTACGTTTTAAAAACTTTACCCTTCCCGACCCAACTGTTTGACTATATTCACATTCACCCAAAGCCATGGTTGAGGTTTTCCAGATCGCTTATCTTCTTGGCGTCTTTCTTTCTCGATCAGGCTAATTGTCTGTGCTCTGATAACTTAGCTAAAGCCAATCCCCTGGCTTAGATTATGTCTTTAACCTCCTAATCATTACACTGTATTTGGTAAATTAAATTTTGTTCTTAAACCGACAAGGTTTGCTTCTGACTAACTGGATGCGTGAAACACATCACTTATTTAGGAAGTATAATTGACGTGGACATAAAAATTAGGCTGGTATTTTCTAACCGGTATCATCTGGCGAAGTATTCCGATATTCATAGGAAGTATGCATTAAACATCTTAGCTACTGAACGTTTAATTCATTAAAATATAAAAAGATTTTATGCATAATTGCCTTTGTATAACTGCCCACACTGGGTGCGATAACCTTGTAAATAGCTTTTATCTTAGGCATAAAGTGTTGGCTGTATAGTATAATTCAGTATACGAAGCAGTTATTCTTCATTGAATGAAGTGTTCGAGACGTTTTTCATTTGTCGAACTATCGCTTTTCTCAGTTATCAATATAAACTAAAGTTAGATTAAGTTGGAGAAGATTTCGGACTGGCAAAGCCGAAACATGGCATCATTCTATAACGTCACTGTTTGGCGTTCTGAGCCATCTAGGTAAATTTGGCGGACGGCTTCAGATGTTAAGAAACTAAGTTTAGAAACAGATCAAAATCGTTCCCACTGATAAAGATGTATTCGTTTTGTACTACAGAAATCGTGAATTATTCACTACTGTGCATTATATTATCAACTTTTTCGAAATGCTATAACTTCAGCCATTGCTCTTTACACTGGTTTTTTGTTCAACATACTTTGTGTTAGTTAAGATTACTATGGCATGCAATTGGAGGGTGAAGAGGAATAATCATCATTAGATAAAACTAAGCAGTAACCATTTTTGATGTATGATAAACTTAGTTTGACATTTCAAGGATCTGTTACCATCGTGTTTATTGACACATTTCGCTAAAGTCCTTGAAATAGGAAGAAGACGGTTTTCGAATAACAGTAATAGCATAGAACTCGTCTGGAGCACACGTTAAAAATTTTGTCATTTGAAAGATAGAATTTCAGGAAAAATCTCGTTTCGCTCTTATTGGAAATCGGAAAATAAATATTAGTGTGGTGTGGACAAGATGACAGTGACTAATTGGTCCGCTTATTTTATTTTTCTGGCCATGAATAATATTATCTAATAACGTTCATCGTCTTTATAAATATCAGACCAGTTTAAGAAAGGCAACTTGGAATAGAAAAAAACCGAGGTATTTTCTTTTCTAGCACTACCCCAGATATCTAAATTATGCGCTGTTAATAATATTATTGTACTCCACTGGGAAAATATCGAGACTTCTTTTTCTCGAAACAAATATTGATCTCACCTGCTACATTTTTGTTGTTCACTTGTGCTTTTTCCTGTCTATCACTCCCTCTCTTCCTCTCATATATATGGTAGCTAATTTTAGAATACACTATTTTTATTCGCACACACACAAACAGACTTTTTGTCTATCTATCTACTTGTCGATTTTCTAGCCTGTATCTACTGTTCCTGTGTGCCTGTTCTGTTAGTTTATTCAATGAAACACTTGAATGCATTCTTGCCAGTCATCTCCATTGATTTTGTTAACAGGGTAGCTTCTTCCCATTTGACGCTTATTTTCCACTTCATGTATTCAGTTTATACATGTATAGATTAGTGTGCTAGCATACACTCGTTTATGTGTTGCAGGAGAATGTAGTAAATGAATGTATAATGTATGCACACATTTATTTTCCTATTTTAAATGTTTTATCGCATAACACTGTGTGCAGGCATGATATCACAACAATAATTATGATAATAATAATAATTATTATTATTATTATTTTGACGATAATCATACTTTTGGCAACTAGTCAGTTATTTTCACATTTGGTTGAACACATGGACACATTTTCATTTAGATGGACTGTGTGTATTCACAGTACACTTTCAATGATCTAGCCTTATTAAATCCCATAATGTTTCATTTACCATTATGGAGATTAGCTGTATCTACAAATGTAAACACTATATATATATATATATATATATATGTATATATTATGGAAAACCTGCACTTCTGATTATAAGTGTACGTGTATAAAAAATACTATCAGCAGAAACGAATGCTTTCTTTCCTGTTCTTTTTCTTCTTTTTATATCTTATTCCCTTCCAAAATGTCACCATTGGCACCGTAATGATGGCGCCAATTAAAAGAATTTTTATGCATTCATTTGAGTATTCTGTCCTTAGGATTGATGAAAAAGCTAAATCCTACTTATTGGTATTTAACCACACTGGTAAATAATATTGTCAGTATTTTTTCTTATCAAAAGCATGATAATAATTATCGGCTTCACAGTGTCAAATTGCTTGACATATATGCATCTGTTTCATTGTAGGGAAAGCATTAAAATAGATTTATTGTCTGTATATTTAGTTCACCTTAATGACAAAAACCTCCATTTACCTCCAGCATGTCTTCTGTTAAAATATTATCATTGAATAAAATTATTGGTTGCATGCGAATTATATCGATTTGTATGTCTCATCAGATGACGTTGGTCAAAACTTCAGACAATAACCACTGTGGTTGTGATACCCGTTTTGGAAATAAATTGTAATTAGAAATTGGTTTTCAGTCACTTTGACAAGGCATATACCATTCTATATATTGCATACTGATTTCCTCTTGTAAAGCTAAATTATTGTATGTTGTCATTTCTCACTTAGGTATTAACTCGTCAACGTACACTTTTCGATAAAACAAGAAAATTTCTTAAAGACAAGTGGAAAGGAGATGTTAAGCGCATGCTTGATGCAGAAAATAGCTTGTTTAAGACAAAATCAGCTTATTACCAACGTTGTCAAGCTGGGGTAAAGTTGCGTGAAGAACTAGCATCTGCACAAAATTTTCTCAATGAATTATCAGCGTCGCTTAATCAGACACCATCCAACTCTTTCTCCGGCGCACCACCATCCGCGTCATCACTGACAACGACACCAACAAGTGCTTCAGGTTCGGTGAATTCCAATTCCTTATTGCATAATTCATACTTTTTATTAGGTACAGCAGGAAGTACTGGTGGCAGTACACATTTATCAAACTCGAACTTAACAGTTGGAAGCAATGCAAATCTGGCACAAGATTCAAATGATCCTTCGTCAGGAGATTCTAGTACTTTTACTGCCTCTTCTTCATCTTCCTCTTCAAACCAAGTCGCTAAACAACGAGCAAAAGTTGAACGATTGGAAAAACAGTTGAGCGATAACGATAAGAAGGTAGAAAACACTTTATTTGTCTACTTTTATAAATGTAAATCTTATTATTTTTTCATGAACAGACTGAAGTTTCCTTTGTTGATGGGAAACCAGCTAAAATACAGTTAATTTGGACCATAAAAAAGTTAGCAGAATCAACGATACAGTTTTACAAAAAGGATGATGTTTATAATTATTTAGTTTATTCCTTTGATTTCCCAGTGGAACACAGGGTTTCAAGCTTGAGCTTTGAAGTTTCAGTGTCTATAGTGTTTATTTTTTACCGGGTGGGGTAGCTACTAGCCACACGCTCATCCTTCTCTCTTTACTCAGATAACTTTCGCCTAAGCAAGATTAAGAAGTGCATCAGCCGGGAATTGCACCGCGGGCTAGATGTGTGGTTGGAGAGTATTCTACCGCAGAACTATCCACGTAATACGGTAATGACAGCAAACATTAGACTTAGCTTTCATTTTCTATCTGCTATTTTATATTCTACTGATGCGGCTGTATGATTTGTTCAATGCGCACACAGCACACGGCATAAGCACTGCATAGCCGGATAAATGCATAAAATGTGATACAATAATACAACTGGACACGGCTGTTTGCATATAATCTAAACTGAACTGTATTGGATTACTGAGGGTTCATAAATAAGATGTTTAATTAGAAATCCAGTTATCAAGTTGAGATATTTTTATTTTTATTTTCGTTCAGGAAATAGAACTAATGTACGCATATCGTGAAGCAGTGGATATTGCAAATCATCGACTGTGTGAATTAGAAAAAAGTAAGGTAAGTCTTTATCTCTCTCCTACCCATTGGATAATATATATGGGTAATTTTTATTTCTGCAGGCTTGAATTAATCCTTAAAATATTCTTATAATCTGTTAACATAACTATTTATATAGTAGTTATAATTTTAAAGCGTGTCAAAATTACATTTTGCATCTTATAAATGTTTATTTCATAACTTCAGTTCATATACCTGGTAGTTTGATAACCTTATAGCAAATACGTCTTCTGCTTCAGTCATAATGTTTCATCTACTCTTCAATATTTCTGCATTTCAATGGCAAAATATTTTCAAACTGCTGACTATAATACTTACATTCAAGCATCATGAATAATCATTAGGTGATAACAAATATATAAGAATGATTAAATGCCAGAAACTGTGATAACACGAAATGAGATGTACGGATTTATTCGCTTGGTCTCTATCACTCTCTGTTTTTATTCACCCACACTTTATTCCCATTTGGCTTGAATTTTGTGAAGTCTTGCTTTTCTGTTGACTACTGAAACTGAATTTCAAAAGCTCGAGTTATTATATTTCATAAAGCATAATTCAACGTAGGCAGGACGAATAGATGCAAGCGAAATATCATAGACAGAAATTAACGGGTCAGAGAATAATCTACGCAGCGATTAATGAGGATTTAATGAATCTGGCAGATCACAAAGAGTGAATTTGTCTGCGCCACTATGGACGAATTTTAGCCACTTCAATAACAATTTCTTATTGGTTTTTTTAAGCCTTGATAGTAATCAGTCAGGTGGTATTCGCCTTTCTACATGGCTCATACCATCAGCTAAGACTTTGTGGATTGATAACGTGTTTTCACTTAGTTACTCGACCGAAGGTTGTCTATTGAAGAGGTTGTGACAAAACGTGTATAGCATATGTTCCAGTAAATAGGCTACACTAAATTGATGAAAAACGTCCAACGCGCAAAGTTTCAAGTGATTAATCGTTTCTGTCCTAAAACAAGAACATATCAGGTAATATACATAAATTTTTCGTCGAAAAAAAGCTACTCACCAAGTATACTGCAAGACATTGCTAAGTCTACAACCCATGCATAAAAGGCAATATGATGAATAAACGTATAGGTTTGTGGAATTGCCCACCACTTCAAGCTTTCATACTTCGAGAAAGCCTATGAATACAGGTGCCAAGAAAACATAGTGTAACACAGATAAAAGTCAAAAATAAGACAAGTGAATTTTTCAAGAATCTAAGCAATAAAAGCGTTTGATGGTGAACTGCATGCGCATACATACAAACATACTAGTATTTCCACTGAATATTCTCCAGATTTAGTCTTGGTTTGCATCTATAAGAGCCACATTGTCTGCGACTCTGAATGAATGAAACTCTTCCTTTCAATTGGTGAGAGAATGCTGCTCCTTCGGGAGCACCCATGTGAAACTAGATTATGCACTAGTTCTTGCATGAATATCCCTACAAGCGAAACCATGTAAAAAGCAAACAGATGCTAATTCCTTTATATGCTCATTGTTTCGATAAGAACATTAATTTTATGTTGGGAATGCAGACAGCTTGACACTGATTTGAGAGAAAATTCACCACTTATCCTCTGGATGCTTGAAATCATATTTATTCTGTCGTGCAAAGCAGTCTGTTGATAACCTGCGGCCATTGGTTAGTAAATGCCAGTGAATTTCAGCTGATTTTACTAAACCAGTTAACTTGAACTGTAATTCTTCAACCCCATTCATAATAACTTTTAATTATTACTTCAGAAAGTTCATCTCGGTTTGCATAGGTTTGATTTATTTCAGAGTGAATTTCTCAGACCAAATCAGTCTCTTAATATCTTAAAATAATGGAGAGAGATGATCCCTAGCCTAATGTTAATTCATTTTCGTGAATAGTATCTAGCAGTAGAATTTAGAATGCCTGTCTACTTCTATTAGTGAGTAGAGCATGTTTTAACTCACAAAACATGCGGTTTCTTTGTTGAAACTAATTGAAATATAGGAGATAAGTCCTCCATTAGGACATCACTTTAAGTCATTATTCACTTCTTTGAATTAGGAACTATTTGGAACACCATAGGACTTAAATCGGCTCAAAATATTGTACAAAGCAGGCGTTTTACAAATCTTTTCATTACTTTGTATAAAATCACCTAATTTAATCAAATTGAACACATATATGATACGCCTTTGCGTGCCATGGTGCTTATTTTCCTACACTGTTGGTTTTTCAAAGTTTGCGAGTCTTTAAGTGTTTATTCTATACCAATCAATAAGAAGAGGCCAGTTGCCTGAAATCTAAAGTGAACCCAAATTTTCGTAGATCAACATTCTTATTTCAAAATATGGTCATTCAAGATGTTCTATCCACTGAAGTTACGCGGAGATTCCCTGAATTATGTTTCTTAATTCCACAGTATAAATTACCAACAGCATTGGTAAATGGTTGGTTGACTATGGTTCAGATTATCCTGAAAGTGAAAACAGTGCAACATGCTAATTGTCAAATGATCAAGGACTCTGCCGAAACAATTGTTTCTGAATAAAAAATACTTCAGTCGGTAAAGGTGAATTAGTTTCTTTGAGACTGGTTGATCGCCAATGGATTCGAAAATAAGGTACATATGTTTCTGTTGAACTATGCACCCCCAAGGTAGAAACGAAATTGGTGATTAGATATTGCGTGACATTATTAATGAATGAATTCAATAACAGAGTATTTAGTAATAAGGTCGTCAACTGTTCTCCCTCATTGTTTTTTCTCCCTAAGAAAAATGTCTTTGGAAAACTCCTTTTCACAAAATAAATAAAAATAACTGAAACTAAAAATAATAACCAGACGACCTTGATCCATTTTCCTTCAAAGTCTTGCACAGAAATCTAAAATAAACCTGCATATTGTAAAACACCTGTTATGTGTTATATCCTAAAAGCATTATGCGATACAGTCTTATAAATTATTGGATTGTCACTTTATTTGCATTAGCACAGATATTCATCTATATTCACCTCATTGAATTTCTGTTCATGTGGGGAACATAATTGATAGGTTGAGGTGTGTTCCAAATTAATGGGTGTTTATTACTTTAGCTTATTTCGCTATATCATCCACGGAATTTTAAAGAAAACTAATTCTAGTTTTTATCAGATTAGCAATTTATTGTCTTTGAGATAAAAATTGATGGCTCTATGTTCAGCATCTTCCAAGTTTTATTTGGTGTGAAATTCTTAATCTGCCTTGAATGTTAGTAGCCAGAAAACCAATGTGATGGATTTGCACCCTAGCCAGAAAAAGCCCAGCTTCATCACAGTTTTATTATGTAAGCCTTATTTTAGGCTGATCTGTCTGATACATTACTCTGCACAACACTCTGATGCTTGAGATGATGTTTGAATCATATTGTTCAGCCCATAATCAAATGGAATTCATGCAACCTCCGTTTATTTCCCGCTTATAATCGAATATGAAGTAAATTCATCTTTTACATTCATACTTAGTATGAGTAAGAAAGGAAATGGGTAAACTAGAAAATATTTTATCACTGAAAAGGCTGTCTGTTAAATACATTTATTTACCGAAAGTTGTCAGTTTAAATACTCGTAGTTACTTTACACCCCCCCCCAGAGTGTAATGTATTAGACATCTGTATCGAATAAAACCCATCAGTGAAATTAGGTGTCTCTATTTCTATTCGATTTTGTCATAGATAATGTTATAGCGTCCTCTGTCTCCACATTTGACTTCACAAGGACCAACCTCCGTATCATGATCACCGACGATTTTAGATACAGACTATTATGAAAGACGGACAATTCTTATTTAATCCTGTTTCCTCATTCACTTTGCTTTCCTTCTTTTTGTCACATAGTACTGTTTTCTTCTTCAACTATAGCTATGAACTCCGACAACTAAAACCACTATTCAGTAATGCTAGGAACTGTGTGGGTACTGTCTATCTAACTACAGATTTTTATAACAAAACCAAAGTAGTTTAAACAATATGATTTTCTATGTATTCCATCCCACTAATCTGTTCAAACATATTAAGTCCAAATAGCTTAAGAAATTAATCTACAATAATCTAATAACTAAATTACCATTGTTAGTATAGTTTAATATTGTGTGTTTATGCGTCTTGAAAAAGACAAAATAAGGAACACATATTAGAAAAACACAACATAGCTAGATAACATCTGCTATGAGAATTATCCACCTTCTTCATAGTAGACAGAAACTTAATGTTTGACTGATTATTGCTTGTTAATACTCCTAAAATCTATTCTGATCCTAGAATTTATCTTTTTACTGACTTTTACTTTCTGATGTATGTCTATAGCCATTTGCATATATCCCTCCATAACTTGACGTCAGCTTAACTTATTAAATCTTTTAACTGGGTTAAACTACAAAACATTCATCTGCCTTAACTTACTTTATTTCCTTCACTTTTCTTTCTGTCTTATTCGAAAAATCACCTCATCCAAAATCAGCGTCTCTTGGTCTTTTGAGTGACTGCATAACATGATATTTAGCAGTTATTAAAATACCTGCCATTTCCACCTGATATTCACAGATCTTATTAATCGATTCTAGTTTCCGAGTAGTTTGAATATGTTATTTTATTAAAGCTAACTAGTATTGGTCAAATAACAATGGAAACTAATGAACATGCTTAAGGCATCCGCATTTTTAGGTAGCTGATAGATAAATTGTGTATGCCTTTCGTTAGGTTATGTGATTTATTCCCGTGTTTCACACCAATAAGGATTAATTCTTCTGATCCCTACATTATCAATTACACGCCTTCATTCAGTGTGTGAGCATCGTTTTTCGCTTCCAATCTCTATTTATGCCTTATTTTAAGACCTTTGAATATGCCAAGATGGTCTTCCTGAACTGTTTTATAAGTGGGGGAAAATTCATAAATTTTATGGATTACTGTGTATTCACTCTAGTAGAGCCATTCATTGTTTGGACTCTTTAGTATCTTTTCGAGAAGTTATCACGAAACTGTTTTTCATGACCATATATCAGTGATTCATTTCGTAGAACTAAAATCAAACAACCACTATACAGCTGAGTAGTAAAGGTTTTAGGACGCTGTAGTTTTAATATCGTGTGATTCTCACTGGTTAGCAAACCTTGAAATGGTATCAGTCTCAAAAACAACATTGTATGTATGAAAAGTAGACAGTCCAGTGAAGACCAGTACAGATTAACAGGATTTCCAAGATGGAATCTGAGGAATCCTGAGCTATGTGAGCTACGCCATTATTTTTACTGTGATGAATGGTTCATATATTAATGCACTGGGACTTTAGCTGATGAGATCATTTTGTAGGAATAAATAAGCTGTATATATCGCTTACAGTGACCTAAATAATGATGTTAGTTATCAGTTTATCACTTTATACTGTTCCGTAAACGGATCATATGGGTTAACAAAAACTGAAATTCTATGTCAACTTCTGTTTGAAGGAGTAGTAAATCATCTGCTTTCAACATTAAATAACTAGGAATTGTTATGCGTATAAAAGTTTGAAGTAGTTTACCCTCATTTCATAACTTCGTCTCTTTTCAAATTTAACATTTAGGTCGAAATTTTGTGCGATACACGTTTGACTATAACAAAAAGTGATGAAGTCGTTAAAGATTCCTTGGCTGAATTATGGAATCATTTGTTCACTAGTCGATTGGCAATGATAAAACAGGTGAGCTAAGCAAACTATTAATATAAGCAACCAAAGCTTCATAATTTTCCGTGTTATTTAGTATTTTAATCAGATTTAGTCTAAAGGGAATAAATAAGTCACTTGGTTGGTCAAAACCAGTCTGACAAGACTATCAACACCTTTCTGAGAATTATACGAAGGTCAGCTACTCAGAAATACTTTCCTGTGTATTAATATCTTTACTTGTATGGATAAGGGATACTTCTTAATTCGTCTTCTGAAACTACGTTACTAACCGAACATGAGAGTAGATATACAAATCACTGCCTACCCCCCTTCAGCATAAAATTTCTATCATTCAAGTATAACAAACTATAAGGTAGACAAAAATGTTCAGAAAATGGACAACATACATTCCTTTGATTTACCTGTTTATCCTGATCCACATAATCAGATCACATAGCTAAGTAGAAAATAACACTTTAGCTGTTTAATCGATACGATAAAATACCTGTGTCATGGGGATCGACGTTGGGTTGTACCATTCAGAATTTACAACCATTTCTTTTAATTTCTCCTTTTCAAATTCTTTGTGTTCCGAGTGAAACACAGGACTTGAAGCTTTTAAGTTTTAGTGGATGTGTTGTTTTCATGAAGTGAGGTTGCTAGCCTGATGCTCAACCTTCCATGTTTTCTAGGCTTACTACTGACTAAGTGAGGTTTAGGAGCGAGTCGTTCGTGAATGGAACATGGGTCTTCAACGGAACTGGTTAACATTCTATCATTGAATCACTGTCATACACACTTCATCCTTATGTTCCCCCATCCCTCAAAAATCATGTTTTAGATTGCACAAAAATTGAATCATGCTAGGTTTGTAGAAGAAATAACTTTTCCTGAATAGTTGAAACTTATATCTCTCACTGTATTTTATTGTGTCACCAGTAAATTCACTTAAAATCCTAAAGTGATTCGTAATATGATAACTAAGTTAATAGGAAAAGTTATCTGAATCTAACTGTCATTCTTTATTTGCTGCTAACAGTCTTGAAATAAAACACAAACAAACAACGATTCTTTTCTACTGCTAGTAAATTCGACAATCCAATTAGATAAGTCACTTGATCATTTTTCGCACTGCCTTCAAGTATATATCTGCTGATTTAACTAAATTTTTAACTTTAAACTTGTCCTGTTAATGCACCCAGTACGAAACAATTGCAAACGCCTACCAGGATTATGTACCGTGTAGTGACTATCGTGCATTGGTTGAAGCACATGTACAAAAGGCCACTGAATTTGTTCCAGAAAAATATCATTTTGATGGATTTCATGAATCAAAGTACGTTGTTCCTTGATTATTGTTTTCTAAATTTTCCACTTTTGCTGTATTCTTATTTATCTATTTATTTGTATTTGCTGCATTGGACTAAACTTTCAGGTGGATATAGGACGCAAATATAAGCAAAGTTCTCCATAAACAGAAGGTCATAAAAGCAGTATTTGATTGCATTATATCACTTTACATTAAAGATAAACTGAAAATTCACCTATTACTTCTTTGATCAAAATGAGATTTAACCTAATAGGACATTTTTGCTTTAAGCAGAAAGAAATCAGTTGTAAATGTGATTGATCTGCTTATCATCTTGAGTGAACAAGCCACTGAAGTTTCATCAAATATTTGACAGGAGAATTGCTTGTGTTCAGCAAATTCAGGTTCGTGTACAGAATGTTGTGTATATACTCTCTATACTCTGAATTCCTGAGTATTTTCCTTAATAGCAATTCCCCTTATTTAGCCTGAATACCTAGAGATTATTATGTATTAATGATGCCTAATCAGTGTTCATCACTTTAGTTATTTATCACTGCTCTTGGCTGCTGCAAAGAGTTATGGTCATTTTATGTTAAATTAGCTCCCGCTAGTCTTCAATTTCAGACCTTACCAGGATCACTCATTTCGGATAAGATGACAATGTTCCTTTTAGTGAATATATTAATGACCGAAGTCACAGAATCAAAACTCTAACTGGCAATCATGTCAAGATATAAAAATTACTTAGCATCAAACAAGTCATCGACATAAGCTACAGGCAAAATAGATGACAAACACACACTGATAACTTCATATATGAGTTTGTATGGATCTTTATCAAACTTCAAGTAATGAAAATGAAAGTGAATGTAATTATTTATCACTGTTATCTCAATGAGATTTTCCCACCTCCTTTTGTACTTCTATTTTGCGTATTTCGTTTGTTATCCACTTGACTGTCTATTTTCTAAAAACAAAATTACATGCATTCATTGCTTTTTATATACAGATATGTACATATTTGTACATTAAGAGACAAAATTAGGCAAATGGATTCAAAAAAAGTCATAACAATCAAACGAACAATGTCTTGTTGCATTGTGCGAAATATCCAACTGTGTACATAGCTTACTTTTAAAACGATACACTTTGACTATAATTCTGCTTATCATATTTTATTAACTATAAGTGTGTGGTTGTTTCGTTCGCATTCTTGTACACAAGACCATAGACAAGAATAAGACAGTTTGAAAGCCAATTAACGTGAAATGTGATGTTTGTCCCAGCAAAAACAACAAAGAATACAAAATATACGAATTTTAGTAATTAGATGTTACAAAAAGTGAAAATTATTACTGAAAGAATAAAAGTGTATTTTGTATACGTTTAGAAGAAAATTAGTTTTGTAATTTATTACACATTGCTGAAAAACAATGTTTTTCAGACATAATTAGTATAGAAGTAAAGCTCGTATTTAGAGCTGCAAGTCTTTCTCTTTCTCTTCTGCTGTTATATCTGCTAGACGCTGTTCAAAAGGTCATGTGGCAATGCTCTCTCTCTCTCTGGTCGAAAAAACTCAGCATATTCAGACTAAATAACCATGATTCCACAACATTACAGTGCTCTACTTGTAGTCATACATTATTTTACTTAGAATCTCAAACGATTTTTTTCGTGCTATCGTCCTTAACACCCTTCATTTTATGTTAGTGGTTACTTATTTCTATTGATTTCCTTTTCCTGCTGTTACAGAGTTTGTTTTTACTTGAACTGTTACATTCTCTTTGGCAATCTATGCGTTGCTTCTCCAGTAACGATAGCTGTTTCTGTGGATCTCTGTCATGATCACCCTACAATTATTTATAAATTCAGTGACAGTCCTCTAAAACAAACAAACCTAATTCTTTAGGGAATTGTGTGTAAAATCGTCGCTTAAAAATGTAATTAATGATAGATAAGAATGCTTGTTGCAACACACTCAATAAACATTATGCTGTATGTTTATATAGCACTTAGAATCAGTCAAAGCCTAGATCATTTGGGTTAAAATAACAATAAAAACAAGTATGATAAGAATCTATTACTATTTATTAATTTGGTTTTTCAAAAATTTCTGAAGATTATTCAAAATAAATAAAGTCATTGCAAGAAATAAGTTGTTTGAATTCCTACGAACTATAGAAGTGATAGCTTTAATTGTAATCACTTGTATGTGTAGCCGCAAACATTCTGATTTATGCAACTCAGATGCGATTTGTTTGCTACAATTTTTTAAAGGTAATTCGAAGAGTTATTTTCCTTAATCTGTTCTGATTTACGTTAAACAATATCATTATGTCAGTGCATCTATTTATTGGAATCACTTCACTTATTTTCAGACTAGATGCTGGTCGTATAGCGAGTCGTTTAGGCAAAGATTCTGGTGACTCGGTTGGAGACTCATTCTGTAAGTGTAATTAAGCCTTATTATAATGTCATGCTTTGACAATGAAACTCTGAATACATCTTCGTTAATCTTAACGGAAATTTGTCTGTTTCTTAGGTTTGCCATTAAATAAAGTTGAAAAGTAAGTATTCTTTTAGTTACGTTGAAATGAAATACCTAGAAAATTGAATATTCGTAGGCCTAATATCATAAATAATAATAGTATTTAAAAGTTTTTTCGATGATTTTTTTCAAAATTCATTACCAAAGTAAGCAATCATAGTAATAAAGAAAACATAGCTACGTATGGGAATCCACTCCGTTTCACAGCACTAGTGTTTATATATCCATGGAGAAGAAGCACGCAAAAATGAGCCATGTTATTAGTTCGGCCATCGATCTTGTGTTTCACTGGTCTTCATCTTTCTCTTACAGTTAATTCTAGCAAAAGCGATAGTCTGTTAAGACACAGCATATCATTTTGGTAGTTCATAATTACAAGTACGATAAAATGCATGCAATCTGAACAGGTGTGTGAACATTAGGTTCATTGATAAAAACAGAAATGATATGATTACTGCAAGAGAATGTTAACATTGCTTTATCTGTTAATTAGTTGTATGTTCTAAACTTTCACATACAACAACAAGCAGTAACAGAAAATTTGGAAAGCTTTTCACGGAGTCTTTTGTATGTTTTAACATAATTATTAAGTTATGCTTGAGGAACAGTCTGAATAAATATTTGGAAGGTTTCACTTCGAATTAGTAAATTTCTCATTCCCCTGCTCTAGACAAATATCTGAATAACAGTACTTCTCAATCTTTAACTCTTATTGAGAAGAGCTGTAAAATGCTTAAAAATTTCTCAATGCACCTGGAGATGTATGTCACCTATAAGTTTGACTTTCATCCACTTTCTCTAAAGTAAAGTTGTTTTCTTTTAGTTCGCTACTGTCACATATAGAGAAAGTGAGTTTTAATCGTTACTGTAAATGATATTGGCTTATTATGTACACTTTCAGACAAATCATTGTGCGCATATGCATATGTAGATACACTTTTTCAAAAGACAACTAGGTCTTTTCTTTTGACAACGAACATAAATCAGACATTATTGTGGACATAAGTTTTAATCCTCAAGACTATGCAGCTTAAATTCGCTTAAATTTTGTTTTAACTTTCACGCAGATACAAAAGAGTTGACTAAAACTTACTCAAAATGGGTTTGTCTTTTCTTTCACTAGTGGTTAGATAAACCCTGGCCTAATTTTGGCAATTCAACTAAATCCCAATTGTTGAATTTTCTTCAAAACATTAATCAGGTGATCATTTGACTATTACAGTCTTCAACTAAACTTCAAGTAAAAGGGATGGAAGCTTCATGACACTCTACATGTAATCTTGTTTTCTCTATGTAGCTGAAAATATATTAGCTTTGAAGATTTGAGGTGCTATAGAGACAATAAAAAACGAAAATTTTTTAGTCTTTAGTAAAATCACTTCTCAGTCCTTCTTTGAGACGAATAGATAGTATGCAAGTAGATCAGTGAAGTCAAACAAATGAAAATGTTCACTGACCGAAATGCAGAATTCATCTGTTAACTCCATTTCTTCTTATTTTATGTGACGTATATTTCAATTCCAACGCAACAATATGTTGTTCAATTTAGAAGCTACAAACTCTATGTACATCTTATATAAAAACACAGTACACAGTTTTGATTATTATGCATCAGCAGATGCTAACTAAATTTTATAGATTCTTAGTATGTGAATAGACTCTAGACATCTCTCAGTTGCGTAAGACTTATTTTCCAAAAACGTCATCAATTCTTTTACACAACTTGTATGTCCGTTTTCTAGGTGAATATCACTTCTGTAAAATACTATTTCTAAATTTAACTCTGTTATTACCATGTTTATCTTTGTTAATGTAATCAAAACAGCATAGTAAAAATGATGTCACTGATGTTGCTATCCCTCTTCGCCAATAATATTATTGATCCGTGTTGAACTGGACGATGTTCTGGCTTCTAAGTAGTCTAATAAACAACTAAATGAAATTTCCGAAAATAATTAATTAATTAAGTCCACTGATCTTTTAACTGAGAAATCTTATAAGGCACAATCTGCATCACCTCTTATTCTGTAGGTTAGCCACCATGGCAGTTTCATAAAATTTTTCTTATCGAGAAAGATGAATAAAAGTGGAAGAACAATTCCGATTCTGCAGCAGTTGCCATTCTTGTTTTAATCTAGTTATACAGCTAAGCATTACCGAGTAAAATCAAGTAGGCTGAGATGTTAAACATTATTATGAAAATGAAGCTTAATGTCATTATGTTTTGCATAAATTCCATTGACTGAAGTTTCTCATATCTCAAATTCCTACGACTTTTTAATGTCCTTTTGTTTATGAGATACTTATAAGAGCTGCTGTTCCCTAAACCCTTTAAATTTAAGTTAAATAGTTCACACTATCAATTTGTTAGGTGTGTTGAGATTAACCTTAATCCGTTTGCCGCAAAAACTTCAGAATACGATGTTAAACTGAAAGCTGACCACCTTATTCTGCAGTTACATTCTGGTGAATGAAGCCGAAAGATGCAAGAAGTCGAAAAGGACATAAAATAATTTGACAAAAATCAGCCTCCTTCACGCTTAATCAAGAATTTTGCTTTCTGTAACTGCGAAAAGCGTATTCCTTTTTTTAATAATTCTGCTTCCAGGATTGTTTGGACACGTTTCATATAGCACAATACACGAACACCATGAAAAGGAATTTGACACTCAAAAGTAACTTTGACCATGATAAAAATTTTGAATACAAACTAAAATATAAAACTGGATTCGTTCCAGCACAAAACTGTTTGCCTTCATCAAACAGTAGAAACAAAAATCTCCGGTTGACATGTGGTATTGAAATCATGTTCTCTGTCATCAGTCACGATCTAATCTAACAACTAACCACCCGAATGTAAAAAAACGTCTCCTTATTATCAAATATCTTTGGAAAAACTACTGCCTATTTTACTTATCTTCCTTCTGTTATTTTTTTCCACAACGATAACAGCCCATCGTAATCTGCTTTCTCTTCATTCGGACTCCGATTCTGATACAGAAACAGTGGATGTAGTGTCTAATGTGGTTGGTCGAAGTAGTACAAGTACTGGAGGTGGCGGCGGTAGTAGTACTACTGGTGCCAGTAGTAGTGCTGGTAGCAGTGGAGTTGCAGGTGGCATTGTTTCCACAAGTAGCAATGTTTTATCCACCATAGTTGAATTTGGATCCAATCTTTTCCGGCCAGATTTGAAAAAATCTATTCGTGGCAAGCGTTCAGTCACAGCCAGTAGTAACCTGGCAAGCGGAGGCGCAAATACAGCTGACTCACTTGAAGCAATAGCTGCACAGGAAGCTAATTTAGAAAGAGAATACATAGCTGCATGCTATCCAGTGGCTAGATGTATTGCAGCGATTGAAAAACAAGCTAATGGTTTGGCAACTCATGTAAGTTAGAGGCTTTTTGTATTATGATAATTTCTTACCTTTGTAATACTCTAAACTAAAGAGATCTAAAAACTGTGAGTTGAACTTTTGTGCAGTAATAGTAGCCCGAGAAATGGCCATTTTTACACTTTACCCAGTCAGAGTTAAAAGATATTATAGGAAAGTATATCCAATTCATAGATATGATACTGTAAGACCATGTTATTCATTAAATGGGTCAAATTACTGAACAGTATACTATAATGCATCATTATTACTTACTATGATGACTTTTTAAGATTATTTATTGAAATATTTACTGTTAGGGAACTATCCATTATTTCAGGTAAATTAACATTACCCAATGAAACAGCTAGTGCTTCTTATAGAAGGAATGATTATTCTAATAACTGTGCAGGTTGCACATCGTAGTCGAAACGATGAAACCATAACGCGTGTACACTGAAGTGGCTGTTTATAATCATAAGAGTGAATAAGCATCTTAAATTTCGTTTCTGTTTACTCCTGAAATATATAAGTTTTTCACATTTCAGACTTTACATACAAAATTAGCATGTGTTTAAAAAAACAGTTTGTTTTTTTAAAAACAAAACACTTTCAGTTCTATTTCCTGCAACCTTTTTTCGTACACTGATTTATTTTTTTAAAACAAATAGTTCTCTTGTCGGAACAAACATGTGTTTTCGATATATATATATATAGTTGTTTCTTTTATAATCCAATTTAATTCCAATTAAGGGAATCTATCGAGTGCCAGCATCGAAAGCAAAGGTCTCCAGTTTAATGGATTTACTTCAGTCAAGTCAACCAAACAGTAGTGAACAAATTAATAAAGATATTGATGTATTATGCCAAGAACATCCATTAACGTTAGCTAGCCTGGTGAAAACACAATTAATCGCTGTAAGTAGTCTTGAATCTTCATCTCCAAGTTGTATTGTATGTTTTTTATCTGAACTATTCCATTTCGTATCTCTTCATGTAAAATTATTTGTGACAAGTTAGTCATGATAAGTGTTGATACGAATAAGCAGAGTAAATTTCAGTATCAGAGACTTTTTATCTCATTAAAACTTCTTTAACAGAGCTTATAAATTTTTTAGAACAATAAAACAGTTTTCACACTTATCATTACATAAAAACTAAAATTTCCGCGATTCTAATTTGATTATTTTAGATTCTCTGGTTCTTTTTTAAACTAATCAATAAATCGGTTTGATTTTCCAGCATATGAATGAAAGAAACGTGGTTTCTGCCCCTTTTAAACCTGATAGACAACATTTTGTAGTTCTCCTGGAAAAGCACTTATGGATATCTTTTTAAGATTTCGGAAATCCATTTTGTTTATGAGAAATTCGCAATTGGATTGATTGAATGATGAGCAGCCTTCAAACTTCTTACTTTTTTTGAAAACTCCTTGAACCGAGTTATTTGGTTAGACTCCGCTATTATGAATCATCCTTTGCTGTATTTTGGCTCTGATTGGATGTATCGTGATATAAATTTTTACAAGGAGTAACAAAATTTTTCATAAGAGCATTTATTAAATTCATTAGTTTTAATCAGATTTGTTAGAATCACGCATCCCTATTGATTATTAATTATAATATGACTCTCATTTCAACAGCTTTAAATTATTTTTTTCCTTCACGTTCCTCAGTGGAACATAGGGCTTCAAGCTAGTGGCTTGAAGTTTTTGTAGCAGTGTTTATTTTACAGGATGGGGTTGCTAGCCTCATGTCCAACCTTTCCTCTTTACCAGCATTAATTCTGGCTTAGTGAGGTAAAGGAGTGCGTCGGCCGGAGATCGAACCCCGGACCATGTGCATGGTCAGCGAGCGTCCTAACCGCTATGCCACCGAAGCACCTCTTTAAATTATACACACTGTGTTCTTTCCATACATCTTTCGCTGTCTTCAGCAGTGAAGAAATACAAACCTTCGTACATACTACAGACTGATAGTACAAAAAGTCAGTTATGCAGAGTGCGAAACTGATGAGCCTTGCTGAAATTTATGAATTTTCTACATTTGACTCTATTAACATCTGTTGCTTATTTTGGGAAATGCAAGCTATTTTTGCAAAAAATTGAATTTGGTTGCAGAAAATTATGAGGGAGAAAAAATCTAGAATTGTGAATATAGACTACTTGCTTCTATGAAACCATATGCTTGACTGAAATAGATTTTCGGTGCACTCATTTTACATGAATTTATTATTTTTGGCATTTTCATATTGTGCTGACGTATTCTGAATTTTTACCAAATCTAACTTATCCATGCGCAAGACTTTGAACTGTTATATCTTCTTATCACAACACTGATTTCACAGAGAATGATAGACTTAAAAATCTCTTTTCATTGCTATTTCTAGTTTTGCTTCATGCTTCTATAGAATTTCAAATAGGCGTAGGTGATACCTTTTAAAACTGCACTGCCTCTGTTTCTAGTTATTTTTCATTTAAAAAATCCTGCACATTGTGCTTAAGACGAATCACAGTAGTAGCAGAAATTTATTATTCCAGGATCTCAGAATCACCCAATGTAATACTAGCCATAGATTCAGTATAATGTATTTGGGAGTAAAGTAAGTTTTTTACAGTTTTTGAAGCTGCGTAGCATGAAAGCTAATAACCAGCTGCAAATTACATTTTTTTAATCTAAGCACATTCTCCTCTCAACAAATCAGAAAAAAGTAATCCGTATTTATACGTACTGCCTAAATAAATCTTGCGTCTTACTTTATATTCCACTTCTTGTAAAACAAGAAGTGATTACTACTTTCCATTCTTTGAAAGACAAACATGCCTTCAAATGACAAAATGACAAAGGCAAAGGCGATGGAATAAATCCAGAATGTAGATGAAAATACAGTGTCACCATTTTTGTAAAAAAATATTTGGTTTACTTGTCAGCAATTTTCAACTGACAGGGACTTTATCTACCCGGTAAAAAAATCTAATAAAACGAAACACCTTACTATAGCTACATGACTTTACGTGAACACATTTATTAGGCTTTAATTTGAATTAACAAGGAAACATTGTTTCCCCTCCCCAATTTTTTATCTAGTTTAATGTACACAATAAAATGATTTATTCTATCACTTGTAGTTTATTAGTAAGACTAACCATTGGCTAGACTACTGTACCTATACGGCCTGCTTAAGCTGCATAAACTTGAAGTTTCTTTGGGACCATTATACAAGTGATTTATTCAGTGTAACAGAAAGTCGAAGGATGAAAATAACAATAATGAAACCTCTAGCTTAATGTCACGTAAAGTAATTGAATCAAAGAACTCAAGTGAACTCAGATCTCGTCATCTTTTCCTGACTGCAGTTTAATATATCATTTAATCATTTGTTTTCTGTTTTTTTCGCTTTCAACAAAATAAAATGTATTGCTTAGTCGTCACTACTTTATTGTGTTATGCATATATATATATCAGCACAAACTGTCGAAGGTATTTTTTTTCGAACAGTGGTCTAAGTAATATATCAATGGCAGAATAAAGGATACTAAGCAGACAAACGGATTACTCGCTAACTGACTGTCTATGATATTAATTATTGATTAGATTAACACAAAGAAAATACGTATTGGATGGAGGATTCCATCATGAGCTGACATTGGTTAGAGAACCACTGGAAAATCTGGAAGTACTGGGCAGCTATTTCGTCCTGGTTTGAGATTCTGCATCAGTACGCACCCATCAGGGTTCGAACCAAGGACCTTCTGGCTACAAAGCGAGCTCGTATACCGTTGAGCCATAAGGACCCGATCTAGTGGCCCATGAATTCTAACTTCTGCCAATTAATGACAGCGCGACCACTTCACAATGTCTTCTTCGGTGAGTTTTTCAATCGTTCCCTAACTGATGTCATCTCATGATAAAATCCTTCATCCAATCAAACAAAATCCCCACAAAAACAATACTTGAAAATATGTATTCTTGGTTATCAGTGGAACATAAATACTTCTGCACCTTCTCTCTGTTTCAGCAAAATTTCTGGAGGTAATTATCATAGTATCGTTAAACGTTGGTTCTTTGTTGTTTAAATATTTGCACGCATAATATCAAATCAGAAGTTTATTTGAATCTGTTTGTAACTTACCTGTGTACTTTTTCTTCTATGTAATACAGTTACCAGAACCGCTACTCACCTACAACCTTTATCCGAATTTTGTTGAGCTTGGTAAGGTAAGTAAAATCTGATGTTACCCCCTTATTTGATATAAACTTTGATGATTCAATAGATAAAATTTTGTATTTCCCTTGTCACTTCACAAACTTAACGAGAATAATTTATATTGCATTTCTGCATTTAGTGGTAATGAGGACTGCATATTCAATCTACGCATTTCATGAGACACAAATAATAAGGGTTGGAAGTGTTCATCTGAAATGTGAACAAAGGGTTTACTACTTCATTGTTTAAACCTAAAGGAGTTCATCAAATCGTAATTGCCTACTTTTGTAATTTCTAAGAGATTATTGTGCCTAGATACTTTTAATTAACTACAGACGTGCATGTCGTGCCTTAAAGAGACAGAAGATATACACATTGCACTTGTTGTATATTAATAATTTTTTTACTGTGTTTAAAGAGTTAGTGGAGAATGAGACATTTTTTTCATATTGCACATTACATTTAGTTGCCTTGCTAGTCATCCTAAGATGAATTCAAGTATTAGTTCAACTACTAACAGGTATACTGTAATCTTTGAATAGTAACAAATATTTTAACAAAATTTTGATGCTTGAATATTTACGGATGCAGCGACTTTGATTTTTATCGTTTCATCCAACTAAATGAAAGTGAACTAAAATGTTCTCGGCTTGAGAAGCATCATTTTTGTACTCGACTATTTGTTAAATCATGAGTTAGCTGCTTAGAACTCAGTTAGTTGCATGGGAATTTTCAATGTTTCAGGCTATGAACCACACTCATTGTGTGATGACTGTAGATACAAATTAGTTATTCAAATTGAAGAAGGCATAGCCGACCTGGAATCCAGGAGAATTAGGTTGAAAATTGAACGCCTAAGCAAATTCTGATTGGGCTTTATTGAAGAGTTGCACAGTAAAACCAAATAGCTGTTCACCTTCTGTTAGTTAAGGAATCTTTCTATGAGTAAGACTGCTTCACCTAATCAGAAAATTTATAGCTAATGGCCGTTTTCATAGATTACGCTTATTTCTTTTCAGAATGAACAGTTAGATTGGTCCACACATCAGCGATAAATTAAAACGATATTATTTCATCACACCGTACAGTTGAACTTCACATAAGATTGTCTACTGTACAATATTCATGTTAATAGCATAAACTGAGCCAGATATTTCTGCAGTAAATTTTGTCAGATATCCTTGTCACACGTCTACATGTATATTATGCAAATTATAGAATTAATATACAAAATTTTGAATGTAATTTATTTTCTGAAATGTAAAGAAATACCTCATAAATCTTGTCTACCAGTGATGGAATGCGCGAAATCTATTCTAAATGTTTAATATGCTAAAAACAACTCCATTGACAATTTTATAATTCCACTTACCATTCGTCAAAATAATTACTTCTCTCAAAAAAGAGAGTAAGCAGCCATTATTCGTCTCATCTGAAAAGAAGAATAAACTTACGTAGACAGTATACATTTACATTTACATTTACATTATTGATTCAGACTTTGTAAGGTATACTACCTCTTTTAAGAAAAGTCAAAAGTATATGTTAATGAAGTTGCAATAATTCTTGTGGTAATGTTTATAGCCTAGTCACTTGTTTTAGTGTACAGCTTTTCCCTACTTTTAACTTCTTGATTCGCACCACTGCATCGCTTCAAGTTGTCACTGTTGGTGACAGTAGGAAAATAAAGAAAGTTAACAGACATGTTAAGCAAAATACATTGGTACTGAGTTTAGTGTTTCAAGTATCATCACCACTCATCGAATGATTCAAAGTTTCTGTTTCACATTTATTTGAATAGTAAACAGAATTTACTCTCCTTTAAAAGTGTTCTCTGATCCCCTACACTTCTTAGTCGTTTGAATATTGATACCTTATTCGACCGTTTTATGAAATTATTTAATTTAATTGACTTACAAGCCTTAAAATAATTTAATGTTGTTCTCTTTCTCTCTGAAATGCTATCCAGTCAATAATGCTGTCTCAATGTATGATATACATGCTACATATATTCTATTCTTACCCTATTAGAAACTGAAAAATGCTGTCGTCAGAAGTAACGTTAATAGCATTATTAAACCGTTCAAGATAAAAGAAATTCTAGGGAGTCCAAAATCTGAAAAATCCCTTTTTCCTTCCGTCATTTTACTACTTGAAGATAGATAAATATATCAAGAACTGCAAGTTTGACACTTCTTCAAGGAAAAATTTGAGCACTCACTCAATGCGGACTCCTAAGGGATTTTCGTTATCGTAAGGAGTGTTTCCTTGCGTGGATTAATTATGTTCAACGACTTATTAGATTATCAATCATTCCACGTGATCGAAGAACATAATTTGTTACATAGTAATACTACTTTTTTCTCTAGTCAGCATTCATTCATCCATAGACCTGTTTGTCTTCTTCTTCCTATCCAGTAATCATTTCTATTCATCCATTCGTTTATTTTCTTTTTCGTCAATTTTTCATCATAGGCATTCGATTTAGTTGATTCAAATGTATCCGACGAACTAATGAAGCGACTACAATTATTAATTAATCATTTAAGTCCCGGAAATCGTCAGCTAGCTGGATTGATTTTTCACCATTTACATAGGTAATAAAGATTTCATTTTTTTACTGTATCTATTATTAATAATATTATTATTCATACCTTAGAGGAGTTGTCAACTAGAGAGTTGTTTCTTGAAAATTAAAATCCTTTCTCATCTCGTTTATATTTCCACGTAAATTGTTTAACTACTTATAAGTAGACAGACTGTACAATAAAAATGTTGAGATAGAATTTTTTTCACCTACTTGTCTGCCAAAAATCATTATATAAACTGAGCATCAGGGAGTTTCGCTGTTGATTACCATCTGGAAGTATACTTTTTTCCTCATAAATATGCATCCAGTGACTCATAATACCAAGAATTAGCTAAAAGGTGAAAAACAATATGCTGTGATTTGAAAGAAGTACAACACCACCCACAATATGCATATATTCAATTCATTTACTTTCAGAGTATCAATAAGTTTGGTTATACTTCGTGTTATTTGGAGGTGCTCTTAGCCTTATATTCTGCTGACCAGTTTGACTTTCTCGCTTTCGAATTCCTCATCAGTATTAGCGTTTGACTAGAAAAGCGAATCAAACCTAGGCTAATCAACAATTATAGTGGACAGGTGTTATTGTCTAACTGGTCAACCTGAACCCAATACCTTTAAACTTTCGGGCTACTTTTGCACACACTTTTCATCAAGTATTACAATCCGGTATTGTTTTCTCGTTTATCGTTTGATTGGTTGCAAAATTGCCGGTTTTCTACCAACCTGACAACGATACCGATATAAATACAGTTTTTACATATATTTAATTTTCACTCGGTATCCAATATCTGTGGGGTGACTAGGTCAAATAATGATCACAGCTCATATAAATATCCACCCAGTGGTTTTAATCCACTGGTTCAAGATTTTAACCTGCTGTCAACTGGCACCATGTGATCACTCCGCCAAATGTGCATCAGTGAGTTTCTGGCCTTATACTTCGTTTTGTGAACGCCACTGGTTATTGTTTTTTTTCCAAAACTTTACAAACTCCGTCCAGAAGATAATCTGTTTTCAGCAGTCGATCAATATTTTGATATCAGTTTGTCAAATGTTTGACTGACTTCAAGCTAGATATCATCACTGCGTTATACTTGTGGCGAAATCAATACAGCAAACCTGATGGTCCCAAGGTATTTTTTCATACCAAATACTTCTTAAGATCCAGAATAGGATGAACGGCTTTCAGAAGGCCTTGGTTTTACATCTAGACTTCATCAATACAATATCCTGTTCTGCGCACTAACTCGGGATCTAATAACAGTATGAATTTCGTATTGATAAATACTTACTTTTAGATATAACCTACTGAAATAGCGATACTAATCGTATACTACCTATTCGAAGTGCGATTTTACATAAATAACAAGTAACTTTCAAATGGTCACAGGAAATATTTAAGCATTTTCGGTTACACTTGCTTATCGAATTGTACGTGCAACACTTAAAAGTCTGTGTCGTATTAGTAGCTTGCATCATTGTTCCTCAGCTTTGCGATAGAAGAGGATGCTGACGAAATATTTTTGTACTTCCCCGTTGAGTCAACTACCTCGATGGCTTACGCAGTTCGTCCAAAATGAGGATCAGTTAGTATAGCATTACTGAGTCTTTAATTATTATCTTTCGAATGTGTACAATTTGATGGAGATTTAACTGAATTTATTAATCCCAAAATCCTTCAGCAGATTATAATGTATGGCCTATCACTTACCACTGTCATGTAAATACTTTGAATTAATTTTTCATAAAAATGAAATACTTCAATCATGGTTTTATGTTATTAATTTTCTGTTTAATATCACTCTTTTTCAAATAAAGAGTTGCTGAATGCCAAACTGAAAATCAAATGGGTGCGGCTAATTTGGGTACAATGTTTGCACCAACTGTTCTACGTCAAAGGCCTAAGTAATTCTTTTTAAGTTTTATTCTCTTCATGTTTCATTCGCTTTTGTATAATGGCTTATCGATAGGAAAATATTTGATAAATTTACTTTAATTATAGTTAATGTTTATCTCATAAATTACATTACTTTAGATAACAATCAGTATATTGAAAGTGAGAAAATCAGTGGCTGAATGAATTTTTCAGTCGAAGGTCTTCACGTTTTCTGATCACTCATCACAGAAACTCCCATCAAAACTTTATGTTAATCAGACAGTATATTAGACTGGTACATTCCTTTTTTTACTGATTAAATGATGACTAATACTGAGCATACAACAGATTACTGAAATGCTTGCATAATGCGTAAAATTTTGGTATACCTTCATCAGTTATTTTATCATCTTAAAATGGGTGAATAAATGAATGAATTATCGATGTTATACACAGAAAGATTTTGGTAGAATCCAAAATCTGTTTACGGTATAACGCCAGAAGTTATCATCAAAATGGGATATATGGAAGTGGTATTTGCAACTGAATAACTCCTTTGAACTACTTTTCCGTAATTCACAAACTTTATGTATACTTTAAACCACTTAAAATGAGAAATAACTCTTAGAACCTACACATAGTTTCTCAGTAGATGACACTAAATAAGCCGTCATCACAATCTGTGTGTAATGTAGTATGTAACTGTGGTACAAATTATAGATGTTTAAAATGTCTCACTATTGTAACTTGATATTCTGATAGCTAGACTTCTTTTTATACAAAATGCCACTGCTATATGACAAGTTTTGTAACATCGTAGCATCCTAAAATAATTTATTATCATCATAATCGACCTTTGGATCTAATCTTGCGGCTACAAATTTATATGCAGTTGAGCTCATATCATTAGGATTGGAGTTAATTTGGAAATATATAATAAGCATGAATACCTCTTTTGTAACACTCCCACATGACATTATTCACAAAATTTTCTGAAAGCTGATTACGAACTAACTCAGAAGTAAATAAAAACTTAATTTGTTTGGTTTTCTCCTTACATTAATTTATAGATTTCAGGTAGCTAATATGATGGAGTTCATGGACAATAAAGGGCAAACAAAAGTTGTTGAACTACTTATCGATCGTGTTTTTCATGTATTTGGCTCATCAGAACAATATGATCCCATAAAACTGATCATATCTCATATAACGTCGGATACTGATAAAGCCGTAATTGCTGATTATAATCGAATGCAAACAGCGCGTGGTAGTATATCATTAGCCGGATGCGAACGCTCTAAGTCAACGTCTGGTACAGTTTCAGATGAATTATCTGAAATGGGAGGAAGTTTGATAAATAAAACTGAATTAAAAACTACCACTAGTGCCTCTATCCCTACGACAACCTTCTCCATTACTGGGATATCCAGTGGTAATATTCCTTCCAATAATAACAATAAGGGAAACGGATCTACACCCTCATCATCTGGTTTACTGAGGTCCGCCACTATATCTGTGTCAAGTCATACTCGAGCAGCAGGAAGTAAGTATTTTCACTATAAAAAATTTAACCTTGATCAATATGCACTTATCGAATTTAATTAGCTCAAGCAAATAACTGCTGTACAAAGAATAGGACACAGTCCACTAATAAAAATAACTTTTACCTCACTCACAGTTGACCTTGAAGAGCTACCTTACAAAAGATGTGACTGATTTCAAACTAAATTTAATCAAAATAGATATCTGTCATAGAAACAGTGAAACCAAAGAACACTATGTCTTGCTGGAACTTAGGTTAAATTACTGCAGAATGTCTAAGGAAAAAGACTTCAAACCTCAAGCAAACTGCTAGGTTAAGGTTGTGCTAGAAACAAGTGACAAAGTAATACTTAGCGCTAAGAAATATGATGAGTGAATTGTTGATTTTCAAACCGATTCCTATAGCCAAAAACAACTACTTAGTATTAGTGTATGGAATCATAACGCCCTTCGATTAAAAATTCAGACCGTTATCCACTAGGTTACTGTATCAAGACGGCTGCATCTTGTTCAGTTGGTATTAATGAGGTGCTGGGATGTTTTCTACCTTCCCGCTTGTTGGGATAAAAAATGAAGTAGTCGGTTTCTCATGGCCTACAAACTCCTTGTACGAACTCCAGATATGCGTTCGATATCTGATCACAAATAATATTGAGGCGTTTTTACAAGAAGGTCATGTGTTAACAGAGACCAGTCTATTGAGTTTTATTTAGGACTAGAGAGAATATTTGAACATTTTGTTAATTTATCACTCATTGTTTATTCATTTTCGCCCTTCGCTTAGCAACAGACATTACGAATCATCATCAGCTAAAGAACACGTGAAGACGACGAAGGGAACCATCAAACTTTCGAAACACTGATGTAAAGTCTTATCAGTAATTGTAGTGGTCAGTGAATTTAGATTTTGAGGAAGTTAGGAAGCTTATATTTCATTTGACTGCACTAATTAAGTGTCGGAATTATAACATGATCAAGGTCAAATCTGGCAGTGCTAAACTGACAAGTGCAAGTTATCACAAGACAGATTTTAGGCACTTCTTTTCCTTTTTTTTATCTCTCTGATGTCGGTCAGCTCGTTACAAAAACTGCTTCAGTGAATATCAATTATTCCTAGACATTTTAGAATGAATAATTAGTTTGCTTAAATTTTCTCTCTGAGTTATCACAAAATTTTGACAGAAGCAACTCTTCATTTCCGGATCTGCCCACCTAACAGCAACATAATTCCATACCATTTATCTGAATCTTGTTAACTTTGGCCTAGGTTCTTAAGTATATTGATAAAGAACTGGAATGAAAAGGGGACCAGTCATTGTCTTATGGTTCAAATGTATCTAAAAAATATTAAAAGATCAAGTCTCTTGAAATCTCTAGTACTCTAGGCAAACCAAACACGCTACATTTACCTGGTTCAAACCGAAAATCAGTAATCTCATCAATTTTCACTACATATCAGTTCAAGAGACTTTGAATGTTTCCAGTGTAATCTACCTGCAGCTAACAGTGATTGTCGATTAATGTGGCTTGTACATGGCACGTTACCTAGCCTCCCTCACTGACGACGCTTCATAAACTGGGTGACCAGATTGTCCTCCTCAGCTACCAGTCTACTTATTATATTGGGCTGATAGTAAAAGACATGTTGTTAATTATTTCAAAAGACATAGAGTTATCATTGAACTCAGATTTTGATGCAGCTGTTCTGACGTATTGAAGTAGTTTGGCAACATATTTTATTGTGTTCTGTCAGATATGAGCAACTGAATGGAAAGACTTATAGCCGAAATCATTTCTCTGTCCATATTTCTAAACAGGAGCTTTTTTCAAATTTATTAGCAATAGACAAATCTTTAATGTCGGCTAACTTTAAAGTTCACTTCATGCGACAAGCAGTAGGACAGTTATTCAGTCTATATTTGTATTTATTGAGTCTAATTTGGCTTTGATCTAAAATTCTTTGAAAATATAGTGTGAAGACAACTATCTATGTGAGTTACGATTTAAATTTTCTTCATTTTTTATCTAATTAGCTCTCCTTTCTGGAGCACTACCATTGTATACACCATTTCGATCAAATCAACCATCTTCCAAAGAAACTGAAGAAAGTAGTAATACTGTTAACACAAATGCCACAACGACTTCAGTATATCCTGAAGATAAAGTTATCACTTCACGAACAGACACCATACATGGAAAACAAAATCCTTCAACATCTGAAAAGTTAATCAATGTTAGAAGTGGTGTTCGACTACAAGATTTGGCGAAAACAACTGGTGATCCAAGTAGTAACGTCACATCGCATACTTCTAGTGTTGTGACTAGTGGTACTAGTGGTGGGAGTGAATCGTCTTCTATTGTGCGTGGTATTAAAAGGTTATATTCTACAGGCAATCAACACTGCACATCATCAACAATATCCATGACGCCCAATGCATCTTCAAAGCTATTTTCTTCCTCTGATAAACAGCACCCGTCAACTTTAAAGTCAACTGCATCGAATAGTTCTTCTTCATCCGCGGATTCACACACAAACACCACTTTATCAAGTTTGGTGATAGGCCGCCGTAAGCCTCTTGGAAGACTGCTGACTGTACACCAGTCAACAGAGGCTTCATCTGATAGCGCAACCACGCCAAATCCTTTAGATTTAGACCAATACAGCTTCATTGACAATGACCTATCCGGTAAGAATGCTCACTTTCACTTTTATTTTCTTTGTAATTTAGAGGTATTACATAAAGTATCTTGATTTTATGTAAGATTGATAAGATGTCACAATACTACATACCGGATGTCTACATAAATTTGACTAGTGCTCATATTACTTAATAACTCTAATTAATCAAGTATGCACAGAACCTTAAGTCTGTGGTTCCAACAAATAATATCGGAGCATCACCTGAAATAAATTTGCTTCTATTAACCAGGTAAAGTATTCTGGAGGAATACACGCTTCTGTTTATAATGCGTGGAAAGCGAAGTTTAATAGATGAATGGGCTAAATGTCTTAAAGAAGAGAGATATTTTAATCATTTTGTGAAGGAAACAATAACCATGTTCGACAAGTCAACTCAAGCAAATGGATAATCTCATACAACCTTTTATTTTTTTGGTGCCACTGTTTAATCTGCATAAAATTCTCTTTCAAAATAATGACATCCTACTTTGTTCTTCAAGTAATTTCAGATATCCGGAGTAAGCGGAACTTAAAATGAGTGATTTTACAATAGAAGCGATAACTGAACTTCGTTCCTTAGTTACTCAAGTTGCAAATGTTTTTAAAGTGTAAGATAATTAATTAAATCATCACTAACAATTAAAGAGGTATAATGTGAGTAGCAGGGATAATGAAATGAAACAATACGTACTTTAAATCCATAATCTGATACTAAATTAATATTTGATTTATGACAGAATTCAAAACATCAACCATTCGGAATCAGCTACAAAACCCTGACGATGTCCAATTTTACCTTAATTCACTTGATTGCTATTAACAGCTGAAGACTAACTTTTGCAGAAACCATAATGGTAGCTAAACAGCTAGTTTTGCATCATTTAGATAAAAACGGGTTGAAATTATGAGTGGGGTAGGAGAAACGGGAACCAACTCTGTAGTCGTATCTCTTAATGCAAAGATGCCTAGTTCAGATTATGGAAGAGCTCTAACTTTCATCCATTTTAACTAGTTACATCCTCATCAAAAGATAAACTTCTTGTATCTGATGGGTTAATGACCAAGTGTCTTTCCTATCAAATGTATCATTCGCAGTCTCCGGATATTTTAAACTATTTTTCCAATTAATAGTAAGCAGATATATTTTACCACTGTCATTTATATTGCTGGCAGTTTTTCACTTTTTTCTCAGTTCTATCTCACTTTTCTACTATAAGTGATTATCCTATTCTAGTACAGAAAGGGTAATTCATTTAACCCCTAATAAGTCTGCCTTTTACCTAGTCTACGATGGAGAAGATACCACAAAAGACGTTGAGCACATTACATTATATTCAGAGGGATAGCTTTAACCGACGTGGTATCCAAGATCCTACTTCTCGTAGTACTACAAGCAACACATAGAGTTCGGGATTAACAAACTCTATAAAATCAGGTAGGTTTCAAACCCTAATGAAGGTGAAATCTCCCCTCTTTGATGGATGCTGGAACACGGACCGGTTTTCTGTTGTCTCACACTCCCTGTATTTCTCGAACTGATAGAGATATCCAATCATATCCACTGAGAACAGTCGTGGGAACGTTTGGTTATGAAGCAAGCACCATTAGGGGCACTAAGCTAGTGACTGCGATACACCCTAAATTAGCTAATACATTTGTGCGTACTAAGAATACCCTTTGTCACCGTTCTCATTTAAATTAACTCCAGATGTATTCATGAACATGACAGTTATTCACTTCGATGTTTTAGGGATTGATTTACTACTGCGGAAAGATGTTGTTGATCTCAAGTATTTTGGTGGAGTTGTGCTTACAGCTGAAGACATGGACAAAATGCAGAATCTTTTAAACTTTTTTGTTTAAAATTTGTGTATGTTTGGCATTTAATTCATCCTTGTGAAATGTGAGACAGTGCCGTAGGTTTGATCTAATCTATATTTGGGACAACTTTATGCCTCCTTCATTAATTACTCTACTAGTCATAATATATTAATCCACTGTGCCACCACTAATTTTTTGTCATCTTCGTTTATGCGCTTCCTCGAAGTCTGATGCGTATCTATTCAAAATTTTGCATCAGCCTATCAATGAATCACTTTAATATTTACTTATTTTTCTGTTACTGATCCTATTAACTTCTGTAAATGGGTCTTTCAGTTTGTTTGGTGACTAGCTCTGTTGCGATAAAGAATTCATAAATAGTCTGTGATATATGTTTCCACCGTTGAAACACATCCTTTGAATCTTTGTACTTTGAACATCTCTTATTAGTTTATTAATCTAGTTTATTTCGTAAAAATTTATTTTAGCGCAATTCCTTGGAGACATCTTAAATCCATCAACCCATAGTTTTCCTCGATAAACAGTCTTAAGTGAAGTAAGGCCAGGTTGGAAAGTTATAAGTAATCACACAAAATCATAGCAACAATGAATGCAGTTACTCATTATTGATTTGCCCATGCAAAGTGTAGACATTTCGTTTGGTGCAGTCGACACATTGTGGATCAATGGCTACAGAGTTTTAGCAGTGTGGTTTAAAATGCTTTTCAGTAGTACAGATATCTCAATCCTTTGTAATCCATCAGAATCTGAAAATTTTCTCTGATCTTCATCTAACTATTCTCTCCTAGCACAATTTCTTCCACTGTAGTTTCACCAAGTATGTTTTCTATACTCATGCGTGCTATTTACTTCTGTACTCTGATAAGCTAGTCTGCCAACAGTGAAAACTCAAAAATTATTTATTTATGACAAGAAATAGTAGCATTAAAATGAGTAATGAAGAGGAAGCTAGTACAAGTTTTAGACGAATGGATTCCTGCGGACTTATTCCTAACGCCTAGCAGTAAACATAGTATTTTCCATTTCCAAGTGAGTTTGCCAAATTAAATATACTTCAGAATCCGTCAGTGAACATTTTTCTGCAAGCAAAACTTAACATCTAAACCAGTTGCATATGCATACAACAAATAACCTTATGTGAGAATATGTAAACCATTTCAAACAAGCTGTAGACTTTCATCAGCAATTACACCCTGTCGATACTGAAAATCAGAAAAGCAATAGGGAACTCTACCAGGCAGCGGACGAAATGAAGAACCCAATCATCGAAGAACAAATATGCAGAAGTAGACGGAGGTGGATCAGATTAATGCGATGGCAAAGATGACTTATTCCACTGTGTATACTTCGAAATGATGTAGTCCATCAATCAGATCACGTCGGGCTCACCAATTTGTTGCTGCTATATTTTGACTAAACTAGAGTACACGTATATTCTAGTACTTCCTCACGTTTATAATTGTGTGCTAACGTTGTGATTACTCGACATCCACAACGTAATTCAAAAGGCACTTGAGAAGGAATACGATAGTGTATTATTGCAGCAATCAAGATTCAAAAATCGAGCGAGCACAAAAGGTATCAATTGTTAACATGCAAGATTTAGAGTAATAAACAAATCAAAGTACAATTACACAATGAAAGTATAGTACGATTATGAGTAATAAAATGGGTCACTACAAGATGTACAGTGAGAAGACAGATAACATCACTCACCAAGTAGGCCGTCTAGTGGGGCCCAAATGGAAAGTGATAGATTGAGTATCCCAGTAAGATCACGTGAAGAGGAAACGAAAGCTGGTCAGCAGTTTTAGAGCCAGCTGGAAATGACAGAAGAGAACAAAGTAAAGGGGAGGTGTGCTACTGAAGTCGTATGTCCTACTCGTAAAGCAAAGAATGAAGAATAACTATCATTATGTGTAAACACTGGCAATTATATTGATAACTATGAGTCATCGAAACGCCATTTAACTCTCTGAATGCCTCTTTCAGTAGTAATAACAAAATAATGAGATCTCTTCTATTTCGGTTTTTTAGTGATTATGCAAATGTAAACTTTGGGACATACTGTCCCGTGATGTTTTTTATTATTAAATTCACACATGGTTGCTGGCTACAACTTTCAGAAGTCATCTGAAGCATCACACCTACATGACTTCGTTCAAACTGTATCGAATGTGTCTGTCTGAATAAGTATGTGGAATATTTCTTGTCAGCTAGTGGCAAAGTGCATACCTATAGGCTAGGTTTATGTGGTAAATATGTGAATATGCTAGCTTATGTGACTTATTTGATAATGCTAATTGTACCAAAAAAGCCAAGAATGACTGATGTGATAGACGATCCACAAAGTAATTCTCTCTCGGTCTGACCTTGATATAATATTAACCGGCCACATTAAAACGCCCTGAGGAAGGTTAATAACCATAAGTCACAGATAACTTTTAAATTCTAAATGAATTCTAAGCCTAACCTCCTCAGTCATCGATTTTCTAAGCCCTAATAAATTCACATATTCCTAAATATCAGGAGATTATTATATTCTTATTTATTATGAAGTGGAATTATTGCTTAGTTGTGTACATTTGGCAAAGTTGAATAACCTGATGGTTCCTTTGCAAATGTTAATTCCTTCCTTGTCACCGTGCTCAACGAGAATCAAAATCACCAAATATTGTCACAAGAAGGGTAACCAAATAATTATTCAGAATTGGCCTCACTAGACCTATATCTTATCTCTGTTAGCAGTACAGATGCTCTGAAGACACAATAAGGCCTAGTTGATAACCTTTTGTTTTTTTAAACTATGGCTACTAAGTTCGGGTCTCAGTGGGCACACCACTCACTAAATATTCAAGTACATCCAGCTGAAAAGTCCCAAAAAGGACCAAACACGCCTTCTGCATTCCACTTTTGGTCATCATCAGCTAAGTGACGAGAGAAATCAAAGTTGTGCTCTCATGCTAAGAGCTTTCTAATATCCGAAACTTCATGGAAAACATGGATATCAGGATAAATTATAGAGTACTTCATAGTGGCTAATTCAGTATAAGATGTTTGAGGCCATGTCTTAAAAATAAAGTCTAGTCTCTGTGTTCAATTAGCGCAAAATGACAGTAACAGTTGGTGTATATCTACTAGTTAATAATTATAGTCGAATAATTTGCGTTGTCAATCTTCAAAGTATTTCGATGAGAGTTCCTAAGCTTTCTGGATATTTTCTCCTGATA